AGTAGTTTTGTACTGCTATGAGGGACAACTATAAGTGCTTTCTTTAAACAAGGAAGTGCTACTGCTAGTAAGGAAAAAACATGTTGCAGAAGAAAAAGAAGGGTGAGTTCCTAGTAGCTTTTATTATTAATATTTCAGCTTGGTATTTATTGAATTATGAACAAATATAAATAACAAAAATTGTGTGTTACTTGACTTTTGCTTTTCTAATTTTGTTGTCCAGGGTATCTGGTAATTGGAAAACCTCCTACATGCATATTATTTTAAATATAAAAATATAAATGGTTGAGGGAGTTTAATTGTACACTTTTTTCTGCTGTTTTGCTATGGATACATAAGCCATGCAATTTCAATATTCAAACATATTTTATCTCAGCGATATAAGAAAAAAATAGGAAAAAAGTCTATATGCATTTTTTTTCCGTACAAAGAGGTTAAATATAAAGATAGGTAGTTAATGGGAAGTTTTTACTGGTTTGTCTCTCTATCCCGCTCCTCCATTGAAGCTGAAGCATTCATCGCGCAGTTGATGATATTTGAGGAGATGATCGTGTAAGTGCAGAATTACACTCGTTACCATTGGTAATCAAAAAATAGGATTTGGCCCGAAATTTGTTGCATCGATCCCCGTTAGAGGCGACGTGAATTGATATTGAGAAATGTGGTTAGCTGTTCATTGAGATCCAACAGCAGAACAGAAATCCGAAACGGTAACAACAACAAACCATTGGACAAGGCAGGTTCGGAGAAGAAGCAAGTGAGGAGAGAGAAAGAGATAGATGAAGGTGGGGATGGGTCATCATCATACTCCCTTCCGGCCAAGAGAAGATGGAAGAGTCTGGTGATGGCGGTGCTTGGCATGGTATTTCTTTCCATGCGCTTGTCTTCTTACTCGGCCTCCACAGCGGCTTCCACTCTACCATCAGTAACCCTCTTTTTTCCTTACCTACTTCGTACCTCTTCCGATTAGATCTGGCTCACTGTACCTTAAATTCTTCTGCTTTCCAGTCAGGTTTCAACCTGTCTTATGCCTTTGTAATCAAGATCCTTGATTTTTACCTTTTACCTTTCTTTTTTGTTTCCATTTTGCTCCTGCGATGTTAAGGAGGTCAAATTGAGTATATATCATTTCTGTATAATCATATCTTAAATGGAAACACATGGGTGTCTTTATGTGTGTGTGTCTATGTGAGCCTCGACCTGCAGAAATATGTTTATGAATTTTTTTTGAACAATTTTAGCTATCTGAATGTGGAGCTGGTTATTCTAATTTATGGAAATCATTTCAGGATATGGTACTGAACAACGAAATTCAGCCTCAGTAAGTATTTCTTGACATACTACAAGATTGAGAAATTTTTAATCCCGCTCTTTCCTCTCCCATCGACTCTAGTCAGAAAAGTAACTATAACAGTTTATATTTTTGTTGTTGTATGTTTCTTGGTGTGGCCAGAATGATTTAAGAGTTTTTGATCAACACAATCCTGCTGATATTAGCAATGAATCTAAGGTATAAAACATCATTGGCCATTGGGTTGCTGATGCATACCTATCTACTGTTTGTTTAACCTCTTACAACGTGTGGCACTTATATTGAGTCATTATATTTTCAGTCTGCATATGACATGTGCTTGTAGATTTTGTTTCATATATGATGGTTGAATAATTTTGCCGTGCAGCTATAGTTCTTTTTAGATGCTTTCTCTCCAGCAGTCTTATCCTTTTTGGGTTCTTTTTGTAGGTCCACCAATCAACTCATACAGATGATCTTATAAGGAGATTGGTTCCAACTCTTCCACAGGTTCATTTGTCTATAATTTTATGATTAAGAGTACTTTCGATTGATTAGATTCTTCGTAACGGAAATAGTCTTTGGTACCTGATGGCAGCTACAATTAAATGGCAGTATCTTTGTAGAGTTGATATAGATTGGAATTCTTTATACATTAAATAAGAAGAACAATTTAAACTGATTATTTGAACTTAAACACCAAATAAAAATTTTACATGCAAAGTTCCCCTTTTTACATGCAAATAATTTATGTTGTCTGACTACGAATGCGTGGCTATGGTGAAGAAGAAAAACGTTTGCCTATAGGCTAGGAGATAAGTCGATAAACAAATATCCGAATATACATACCTTCATTGATTTAAGCACTATCTTATTATTCTTATATTTATTATTATTAGCATTAATTTGTTTGGTAATTTATTATTAAGTCAAATTCTTGTGTTGTTGGACAAGCGAGAGTTTGACGAGTATTATTTAAAGAGTCCTCTTCTTTTTGTTACAATAAGAGCATTATTGGAAAGAATTTACGTATTCAGAAGAGAAATCTCTTCTCTTATTTCCCCTTCTTAGTGCACTGCGCTACATCAAATTCCCATAAATGAGATTTTTGGCAATTACACAGGACCTGAAGGGTGTCGTCTTGTGCAGTTACATAATATAGTGATTGAACAAGATGAATTTACTAGATGAACTTAGAGAGAATGGGATAAAATTATTTTCATGTTGCATAGAGCTATCCAATATTCCAATTACATTTGCATTAGTGAAACATGCCTGTACAAGGGATTCATTCTCCAGTGAAATTGTGATTAGCAAACAGTAGAGAATTTGATCGATAAAAAGAATTCTGACTACTGTCCTTTAGTACAATAAGAAACACACACAGAAAGCTAGCTAGAACAAAAATAATAATCTTTCGCTCGTTTACAGACATTAACTTAGTAAGAGTCGTCATTAAACTTAGCAAGAGTCGTTTATCAGGCGTTTGTGTCTGTTGTAATGATTCTCCATCAGCACCCTCGACGCCCCTTCCACAGTTCTTCGCCATGTCTGCTAAAATAATAACTCCATATCAGAAAGTATCATCATAATTTATCATGAGCATAATCACATGAAGTTAATAATATTTTTCAAGATTGTGAAGTATATAATACTACTAAATCATGACATATTATGAGGTAAAAGACTGTACCATTCACCGGGAGTTTATCCGGGATAAATAAAAATATATAAGTGGTTCAAAAATCCCTATCAACTATTATCCAGTTTCGCAAACATGCCCGGTTAACAACAATCTTTAACAATCATTTATGCTTAATAATCTAAAGCTCTTTCTGATACTTACACCAAACTAATGACAGAAAAATAGCTCCAACTGAGCAGCTAAATCATCCCATCACACAGACAATTGAACAAGCACAACATAAACAACACACAACAATCCAAACACAAAAATGGAGTCTTGATCAATTAACTTACCTTCTCAAAACAATAATCTTTAATATAATCTAAAGCTCTTTCTGATACTTACACCAAACTAATAACAGAAAAATAGCACCACCTGAGCAGCTAAAATCATCCCATCACACTTCACACAGACAATTGAACAAACACAACCTAAACAACACACAACAATCCAAACATAAAAATCGAGTCTTGATCAATTAACTTACCTTCTCAAGTGCAGTTATGATCGACTTGTTCTTAATCTCCCTGGCCCTGATCTTGGCCTTGCTCATCCCCAGCCTCCGAAACAATGCGGCTGATTTATGAACATTAAGGGGACCAAGAAGCGATTTTTTCTCCGGTAAGCTACTACCATGGCCAGCACAAACTTTTCGCTTTACCCGCTTGGCCAGTCTCAGGTCCTTGGCTGCAAATTTGTCGTTTTTATCGGGACCCACCACGGCGAATTTCCTCAGAAGCTGGTCGGACGATGATTTCGCGACGTGCTGGACTCTGGTGATGTTCGGGTCAGCATTTTCCATTCTGCAAGAAGCTAAGGAGAGGAGAGTTTAAGGAAGTTCTTGTTTTTTTGAGTAAATTGGGAGAGGGGTAATGAAAAGTTTGTGTGTAATGGAAGGAGGGAAATTTGGGGTTTAAGATGTGTGGAGAAGAAGAGAAAAAGGACCGTTAAATGGGCGGTGGCTTTGATTGATATTGTGAGCTAGTTAGTAATGTGCAATATAGCCGTTGCCTATGAAATTCTGTACATATAATTCTAAGTTAAAGTGTTCATTCATTACTGTCCCATGTTATTTTACTGGCAACATATATTTTACAAATGCATATTATTATGGTGTTTGCTAATGAAAAAAAAAAAAAAAAAGAACTGAAAATTTGTGATTTATAAAGGGAATTTGTCAGTATAATAATTTGTGCCTTCTTTCTTGAAATCTGATGCTAGTTAGTTTATTTTTCAATAAATGTACATATTTTTAAATTAAAATGCCATGCTTTAAACAATCAAATAAACAAATGTATAGTATTTTACGTTATCAATGATTCGATATACATTTTTGTTTCTTAGCGATCCATAAATTTGTAAGTATTAATGGTCAAAATTATGATACGCATAAAGCAATTATTTTGATTTTTTCTCAATTATTCTATGCTTGAAAAAGTGATTGGTACTAATGTTCCTAATTTATCCTAAATAAATCATACTCGTTTAGGAAAAAAAAAAAGACAAAAAAAAATGTATTGTTATTGATTTATAGGGATCAAATTGCCACACGATCCACACACTCGTGTAGATGTATGTGTTTGTGTGCGGCTATTGTCAGGACCAACAACTCACAAATTCAAATGAGATTCTATTCTAAAACCAATTGATATTAGAAAGAGTAGCATACCAAACTCATATATTGGACTTGATACATTTAATTTTCCAATTGAGTTTGCACACCCAATAAACTTTCCCTCAAACACAAGACACATATTTGGGTCGTCCCTTGAACGAAATCTATACGATCCGACCATCTCTATACGATCCGACAATCTTGTACCGTTGTTATCACCCACGGAACACGCCGCTTGACCACCTTTTCGCCAGGAAGACTTTCGACTTCAAAGCACACGAATCCACCGTCTCCACAGGAAACATG